CATTATTTCATGGTATTCACTAGTGTCTAGCATAGTGCCTGGTACATGGAAGGAACACATACATGTTTTTGAGTGGAGATCAAATCTAGATATAAAGTAAAAAGATACTTGGGAGTTGTATCAGCCAAGATAGACGAGGTTATGTTAGGGTTCCAACAACAGTAAAAGTGTCAATGGTTTAAAATAATTATTCCTCACTCTTTCTATAGAGTGAGGGCAGAGGTTGGGGTGGAGGTAGGTATATAAGGGCAGGTTTGTGTCTGAGCTGCCTGAAGACTCAGGCTAATACAAGTTCTGTCATCTCTTGATACTGTCATCTCAAAATTAGGGTTCAAGCTTGTTGCAGCAGGACAAGGGCACTGCCACCCAAGTGATTCTATTTCGAAGTGACACTTCTGTTTTCATTTCATTGGCCAAGAATAGTTCATAGCCACTCCTAATTTAGTGGGGGTGGAAGAGTGTGATCCTTCATGCATGCAGAAGTGGAGGGGAATGGATATTCGTGAATAGTAGTTCACACATGGAGTACACATGTTGGCAGTATGCTTTCCACCATAGTTCTTTTAGGCAATAATAAGGGAATTGATAAAATTACCCAGAGAGAGATAATAACATGGGGTGCAGCAGCAAAGTTTACTATATTTTCCAGTTTGTTTGTTTATTTTCTATATTTTCCAGTTTAATGACTGGAAGAGGCTAGCGTGTCTCTGTGTTTCAGCCTTTGAAACCAACATAGTTAAATCTAGGTTTTACTTTGTTAGGTTTTTCTGAAGAGCAACTCTTAATTTTATGTTAAGGTGGTTATTTTAAATGAATTCATTGTATCCTTCTCTATTCTCTAATTAAACAACATATTTGAGAAATGTGTGTTTTTTACTTATTCCTGACCAGTTCAGGAATATCTTTGAAGCCATAATGGATTACTGCAGAATTTTTTTAAAAAAGAGATGATGAACTCAGTAAAATAGGAAGTATAGTTCACTATTTTGTTGGAAAGTAAGCTATTTCCCTAAATGCATGGCTTGGCCTTTTGATGTGGTATTATTTATGTTTGATCCCCATTGCTGTCTGGATTCAGTGATTGCAGAATCTTTAGAAAATCATTATAAATTAAAGTTATCACAGAGAAACCTAAAACATCAGGAGAGCTAGGAGAGCGTCAAAGATCCCTAAAGAGCTCTAAAGATACCTGACTTATTTAGGCAGAGAAAGTTACTTGCCTGGAGCTGCTTGACCTTTAGTACATGATATTTTGATTCTTTAGTAAATTTGTGTTTTCCTCAAGTTCATTTTCCTCTGCAGACTTGTTTTCACCACTACAATTCACAGCATAGAACTAGTTTAAGGATTTGTCGTGTTTAATTGCACCATTTTAAAGAGGATACTCAGGTTTTCATTGTGTAATACATTTATTGAGAACTTAATAATAATACTACCTAACATTTACACAGTGCTTACTGTGGGCCTGACCTTTTACTTTTTGAACTTAAAGTATAATTTACATGCATAGACCTTAAATACATGACTTCATGAATTTTTATATAGCACTTCCGGTTCAAGGTACATGCAGACCATCCCTAACCTCCTAGAACAGACGCAGCAAATACCTTAGGTTTTTGTTTCTTGTTGCAGCTACTCAGCTGTGCCATTGTAGAATGAAAACAGATGTAGAAACTCATAAAAAGATAATGATGACAAGATTCCAGTAAAACTTTATTTAGCTGAATTTGGCCATGAATTATGATTTGTTGTACTCTGCCCTAAAAAACTCTCAAGCAGGCAATTTATATTAAACCTTCCCAATGAGCCTCTGAGGTAGGTGTTTTTTTTTTTTAATCACTTTATTGATACAGAATTGACATGCAACAAACTACAATTTGGTGTTTTGACATAGGTAAACACTAGTGAAATATCACTATAATCAAGTTTGCAAATCTTTCCATCATCCCCAAAGTATTTCCTCTTGCCCCTTGGTAACTCATCTCTCTGCCTTGTCCAAGACAATCACTGATGTGCTCCCTCTTACTAAGTCACTAATTTTTTAATTTTTAAGGATGATATAAATGTATTAATAGAATATTACCTATTCCCTCTCTGGCTTCTTTTACTCAGCATAATTATTTTGAGATTCATCCATTTCGTTAATTGTATCTATCAGTTTGTTCCTTTCCTTTCTATTGTTATATTCCATTGTATAGATATACCATACTTTCTTCATTACTATTTTGGCTATTAAAAATAAAACATCTATGAGCATTCACAATCATGACTTTGTGTAGACATGTGTTTTCATTTTGTTTGGGCAAATACCTAGGAGTAGAATGTGTTGGTTGTATGGTAGATATGTTTAAACTTTTAAGAAACTATCAAATTGTTTACCAAAGTGGATGTATTAAATTCTTATCTTTACCAGCAGTGTATGAGAGCCTGATTGTTCCACATCTTCACCAGTACTTAGTAAAATCAGACTTCTTAGCCATTTTTGTGGGCATGAAAGGGCAGCTCTTTGTGATTTAAATTTGCATTTCTCCAATAATTAATGATGCTGGGCATCTTTTCCTCTGCTTATTTGTCATCTTGTACATTTTTTGATAAAGTGTGTATAAACTTTATTAATTAGATTTTTAATCTTCTTAGGGAGTTTTGAGAGTTATTTATATGTTCTGGATATAAGACCTTTACTAGGGCACCCCAGGTGGCTCAGCGGTTTAGCACCACTTTCAGGCCAGGGTGTGATCCTGGAGACCCAGGATCTAATCCCACGTCGGGCTCCCTGCGTGAAGTCTGCTTCTCCCTCTGCCTGTGTCTCTGCCTGTCTCTCTCTCTCTCTCTCTCTCTCTGTGTGTGTGTGTGTGTGTGTGTCGCTCATGAATTAAAAAACAACAACAACAACAAAAACCTTTATTAGATATGGGATTTGCATTTTTTTCTCTCAGTCTGTACCTTTCCATTTGCTTAATGTAATTGACACTATTTTGAATTGCCATATGGTGTGGTTGTTAGAAAGCACACTCTCAGGCTATTAGAGAGTTTTGAATCCTAACCCTAGAACCTAGGGAAAATAACTTGAGGTTTCTAAGCCACAGGGTCTACCTCAAAAATTGCTTATTATACATGTTTCTGATTTTATGTTTTACTAAGAAGTTTACATGAGGACAATTTGAATATGATTTAGGATGATTGGTTGAAAGAAGTATTTTTAGGTATTTATAGATGATTCAGTAAACAAAACAAGAGTCACTAAAGCTTAGTTTTTCTTCATAAATTCTGGATTTCTATACTTTTACTAGTTTGGCATCCTACTGTCTTTTTCTAAATTGAAGGGATAGTCCAAAAGAATACTCATAGCTGTGCAATAATCTTATACGCTGGGCTGTCTTAATGAGGCTAATAATTTCCCTTGTTGCCATAGTCAGTATTATATTTAAGAATTATAAACATAAAAGTCAGTAGTATGTGCTCTCTAGTTAAAATTGAAGTCAGAACCACTTTAATGCATCTATATAGTCTTTTTTGCAGAATAGTATTACTGATTTTGACCAGTTGGTATATCCTCTGTGAATTTGCTGTGTATGATTATTAAGTGTATGTTTATGGAAAATGGTCCAGGTGTTAACTTCTTATGAATTTCAGCATTGTGATCAAATAAGCTAAATAATTGGCTGGTCAGATTTACATTACCAATAAAATATGAACATGATAGTGGCGTTTCGTATGTGACCATTTGTTACTATAAAGTTCAGACATCTAGACTATCATAGTACAGCTTCATATGATGAGCCCACATGAGTTGTCACAAACCAAATGATCTTTAAGTGTATCCATTTAAGCTTGCCTATTGTGGTGTTCTTCCATTATTTCCTTAAGCAATACCTAAAATTGCATGACGCTATAGTAGAATTTGGAGAAGGAATATTTTTTTGGGTAGCTTTGTATTTGTTACTATCAATAAAATAAATAAAGTGTGTTTTCCGTCATGTGTTTTAACAGTAAGTGTCCTGTCAGTTTTGTTTTTATCATTGGTCAGAGTTATCCATCTTAGATTTGCACTGATTGCCAGTCATTTTTCCTCAGCACTGTAGTCAGTAACTTGACAGGATGAAGGGAAAGGCCTCAGAAGTCAAGGCAACTGCAGGATAGTTCAGAATGGCTGGCTTCGTATCAGCATGGGTGCGTGGGAGTCAGGAGGTCCGGGTTCTGGTCCTGCCTTGTGCAGTCAGTGCTGCTGTAATCCTGGCCAAGCAGCTCTTTGCATCCTTTAGCATCTGTCAGATGAAGATTAGGGACCCTCCTTGGTCAAAGAACAGTGTGACACCAGACAGAAGGGGGATGCTTTGCAAAGTCCCAGGTAGTATGTGAAGCAGTAGAATTTTTCTCTAAGTATTTAACATGTTAAATTATTTTAAAAGTATGATATTCAAAAACTATAGTCAGTCCTTTTAATCACACAACTATGTGTGGTGCTTCTTGTTAGTAGGTTTGCATGCCTTCTTAGAGGAGAACAATCTTGCAGACAGAGTCAAAAACGGGTACAGGCTAGAGATGGGGAGGAAAGATGAATTCCTTTATCTCATATCCAGCCCTAGTCCTTTTAACTGCATTTTACCCACCATACTTATCTTCTTCCTGCAAGCTTCATTTTCTTCTATTCTTGTCTCTTCTCCCCTCCACTGCTAGCTTTCTTTTTTTCCTTTAGAACTTTTCTTAGACCACAGGGAGTGGCAGGGCGTGGGGAAGCGATGGGCTCTGTAGCATTAAGCCCTGTCACCTGCATGTTTATGGAGCATGTGTCAGAAACACACAGAACATAAAACTAGTTAATTGTGTACTCAGACCCCATGATCAGCCACGTGGTTTGTGCATCCTTCATCCCACCAGTTTCTTTGCTACAGAACAGGAGATGTGTTTATAGCACTATTCCTAGGGTCAAAAGGTTTATATCTAAACATAGACTCTGTCTGAATTATGAGTTCTTAATCTCTTAATATATTTATTTCTAGGGCAGGAGCGGTTTGGCAACATGACCCGAGTATACTACAAAGAAGCTGTTGGTGCTTTTGTAGTCTTTGATATATCGAGAGGTTCCACATTTGAGGCCGTCTTAAAATGGAAAAGTGATCTGGATAGTAAAGTCCATCTTCCAAATGGCAGCCCGATTCCTGCTGTCCTCTTAGCTAATAAATGTGACCAAAAGAAAGATGGTGGCCAGAATCCTCCTCAGATGGACCAGTTCTGCAAAGAACATGGTTTCACTGGATGGTTTGAAACCTCTGCAAAGGTGAGGTCCACTTTGTGTTTATATCTGCTCTGCTTTTAACTCCTAAATCTGAGCTGTAACTATAAAATATTTAGACAGGTTTACGTGGGTGGTTTTGGGGAGCCTAGAAGAAAGCAAAGTATAGCATGGATATGTTATAACTTTGAGTGGGCATCAGGAATGCTTTCAAAATTGGCCAATGTGGAGGTGAATAGAACAGGTTTTCCATCAAAATAAAAATTATTGGGACGCCTGGATGTCCCAGTGATTGAGCATCTGCCTTTGGCTCAGGGCATGATCCCAGGGTCCAGAGATTGAGCTCCCTGTGAGGAGCCTGCTTCTCCCTCTGCCGGTGTCTCTGCGTCTCTCTCTCTCTCTGTGTCTCTCATGAATAAATAAATAAAATCTTAGAAAAAATTATTTAGAGCAACGAACAGGGAGATTCTCTGAATTTGAGCCTTTAAATGAAACACTTCTGCAACTGGAGTTTATGGGGGAGAAGTTATCTGGTCAGGCACAAGCATTTTTGATTTTTTACTGAAGGCTTAACAAGATATAAGGACATAGATGATGTCTATGTGTGACTGTGTGGGTCATGTGCAGCACTAACAAAAATGGACGCTGAAGATGTCAGAAGATGTATTCAGATGGTGTTTGAAGAGTTTCAGATGGTGTATGAAAGAATTTGAACAAGACAAGTATTAACACTTGTAACGTGCTTCCATGAATAGTGGAGTGATAATTTTTTCTTTCATCTATTATGGGGTACAGTGTTTTTTGAGGAAAAATAAAAACACTTAAGTTGGCTGTTAAAAATCTTGCCAACCTAGATATACAAGAAAGCAAAAGTGAAATCACAAGCACAAAATATTGGTGGGGAAGGAGTTTGTTTATGTGCTTTGGGAATTTCTCATTAGAAGTCAAATAATCAGATTTATGTAAGAATGATGAAATGTTGGAGAAATTCTGTAATGAACGAAATTGAAACCAGAAGACTGGCCTAGTTTAACACAGTCCCAGCATTTGGGATGCCTTCTGTGGATTTCTGTTGTGTGCATGCATCTATCTATCTATCTATCTATCTATCTATCTATCTATCTATGTATGTATATATATATACACATGCATGTATATATATGTATATATTTTAGTGTGTGTGTATATATATTTATTTAAAAAGCATTTTCCTCTTAGCTAACAAATGTGACTGGATTTACCTACTGGTCAAATTATCTACTTACTACTAGGTTACTTTTAGCTTTACCAGGAACCCACCCAAAAAGTAGAAGATCATTTGGTGCCACTGGTGATCAGAATAATGAAAGCAAAGCTGTAAGAGATTGCACAGAAAAGCTGCTCTGGAAATAACTGAGTGATGTTGGAGTCATTGGAAAAACTAGTGTCTGCTGGAGGCAGAAGTTTTTACTCCTAAGCTTAAGGCTTATTTTTTAAATATATTTTAGAATCTTAAAATTTAGTTTAATGAATAAAATGTGATGGCAGAAAAAAATTGCAGTGCAGGGTTGCATGCCACACGAGCACCTAGCTGGGCAGGAAGAAGGAAATGGCAGTAGTTGGAGACTTGTCATGGAGGCACTTGTCCTGGAAGCCATGCCCTCTGTCTGCAGTGGGTCTGTGAGATGATTTGCTTTACTTCTCAGCTTTGTTGGGAAATAATTAGTGATATGTGTAATGTGTATTAGAGCATGAGATTTGCTGGAAGAAATGCATGTATTACAGGTAAAATTTCTAAGTTTTATTTGAATTAATCATTCAGGTAATAAATCCAAATTTCTGCCCAGAATCTAGATGGAAGATTCAACAATGATAGTGTCATGTGGTGGGATAGCTTGAGCCTGTGTAAGTCATCAGCTTTGTTACGTTTATAGACAGGGTTACATGTGGAGTGGAGAAGGAGAACACTGGCTAATAGTAGAAGTTTCAGGACTGTTTTGTGCTTTCCTCCAAATATAATAGCAACACCATCTGCAGAATTTCCTTAATAGTAAACCAGGAATGTTCCAAGAGAATAACAGTAATATGAAATTTAGGTTAAAATTTTAGTTGAGGCTTAAAGTACTGCCTAAGTTTCATAAATGACTGTATTTCTGAGCTGGCCAGCAGCTGACTCCCCAGCTGATTTCTACCGGAATTCCAGTGATCTGAATTATAATGGGCACACAGCCAAAAGACAGTTTTGAATTCATGAACTTCATCTTTTCACCTTTTTTGCAAATAATGGAATTTCCAGTATGAAAATGTGTGACTAATTACAATATGGGAATTTTCCATTTCTAATCTCTAACCTTAATGTGGTTAGAGAGCATTATAATTCTTGGAGATAATGGGACTGGTGGGGGTTGAATGAAATTTGAACATTCAAGGATCAATAATTTAAGTTAATACTTATTTTAGGAGTGGAGGTTAAAAAAAAAGAAGAAGAAGGAAAAGCTTGTGTTGATTCTGGAAAAGGTACCTGAATGAATAGCCCAGGTCTTGCAGATTTCTCACTGTCTGAGAAAGTATAGCAGATAAGGGAGACAGGATGAGCCTCATGTTGTTAGATTGAAATTGGAGTGATCGCTATGACCTTAATGTTTTTTATGCATGTATAAATATATATGTTTCTGGGTTTATGTGTGTGTCTTATATACACATATATGTATAAACAGATAAACGTAGAAATTGATGTCTATGTGTCTGTGGCTGCATATGTGTGTTAATAGCTCTGCTTGCTCCAAGGGCTTAGGAGCAATGACACCACAGATCCAATGAGCTTCTTAGTCTCCAGAATTTGGTTTTTATTTTTTATTTTTAAGGGATTTTATTTATTTATTTTAGATATAGTATAGTTGGGGAAGTGGCAGAGGGAGAAGGAGAGAGAAAATCTCAAGCAGACTCCCTTCTAGTGCAGAACCTAACACCAGACTTGATCTCACCACTCTGCAATCATGACCTTGAGCCGAAATCAAGAGTGGATGCTTAACTGACTGAGCCTCCCAGACTCAGAATTTGGTTTATAAATACTATTCTTCTATAAAAAGAACAGGGGTTTTGTGGACAAGGGGGTTTGGTGGGACAAGGAAAGTAAAGATGCAACAGAGATATTTTGTGGCACCAGAAACTAAGGAAACACAAAATGGAGATCTGTCAAAAAGAAACAGAACCTCACTTACAGGATCTCCAAAAAAAAAAAATCAACAATTTGAGCAGCAAAGTAAATAACTATTGTAAGAGATCTAATCCATAGAATAAAATAATAATCTCTGATATGAATAAACCAATGAAACAAGTAGAGGAGAAGAGAAAACTCTTCCTAATGGTAGAATTTCAACTAATAGATGTAGAAGGAATGATGGAAAGGAACAATCACCATGTAATAATAGCTGTTTTAGGGAAGAATGAATTAATGTTAAAGTTGATGGGAAAACTATGATGAAAAAATAGGATATTTACACTTTTGAGCTTACTGAGTACAAAGGAAAAAATAGCTATTCCATGGCTGGCAGACATGACTTTAAGCAAATGTCCCTCTTGTACACTGAGAGGGACATATCGCTTATTCCTGCCAAAAATGCATAACTTGAGTTTAATGATACAGAAACAAGCCCAAACAGAGATATTCTCTGGCCAGCATGCTCCAAGAATGTCAAGGTCATGAAAGGCGAGGTGATCGAAGAGCTGTTCCAGGTTACAGGAGACCAAGGAGATGTGTACACGAATTACGGCTGGTCCCTTGGATCTCAGATGGGACACTGAGACAATGGTGATATTTTAAATTTCATAATTACTGACAACATATTATCGAATTTCCTGATCTTTATCTGGAAACCTGATTACCCAAAGATGTTAATATTTTAGGAATATGAGTGAAGGGTATTCGGAATATTTGCCTTTTTTGCAATGTTTTTGTCAATCTGAAATTTAAAAATGAAAAGTTAAAATACTTTTTTTTTGAAAAGTTAAATACTTAAAAGCCCAGATTTTGCTATGTGTTATTTGTGTATTTAATGACACCTAATAGATCTGTCACACAAAAGTGATAGCTAGTGATTTCTTGGGATATTTTAATGGACATCACACCTGCAGCATTGCTTCAGGTTAATTTACACATATGTCACCTAAAAGTAATAATCTGTACTCAGATGGGGAAGCGACATGATGCATTTGTCATATTTTAATGTGTGAGCCCGTTGGCCTTCTTAGACTTGCCTTAGATGTTGGAGGGCAGGAACTTTTTCATCTTGGTGCTTTCATTTATGTGAGTGGTAACCCAGCGTGGGATGAAGATTCCTTATCAACCATTGAGATAGTTCATTAAACCTCAGCAGCAAGTTTGAAGCAGAAACATCAGGAAGGGGGGATCCTTTGTGAAGAGAAGAGTGTTCTGTAGCCACGTTACTCAATGGCATTGAACTCTGACGGTGTGTACCCTGTAGGGAGGGAGAAGACGGTAGGCCGCGTATTGGAACACCCTCTGACAAACTGTGTTCGTCCCGGTAGTACTCTTAATGCTTTCCTCTAGGCATTAATCCTAAGAATTCACCCCGTTCATCATTTCCACATTACAGGATAACATAAACATAGATGAAGCAGCCCGGTTCCTAGTGGAGAATATTCTTGCCAACCACCAAAGCTTTCCTAACGAAGAAAACGACGCGGGCAAAGTTAAACTGGATCAGGAGACCCTGACCGCCGAGAGCAAGTCCCAGTGTTGCTGATGTGCCTGCTGCTTCTGTGCGTGCAGGATGCAGCCTAGCTGGGCTGGAGCGAGTCCTGAGAGGTGGCTAAGGTGGTGGCTGTGCTGTGCTGTGAATCTTCCCAGGGCTGCACTTTAAATAAATGCTCCGGTTTTTCTAGGGGGGTAAATCTTTTTCCCTGCACAGAACGACTGTGAGGACACCCTTGGGAGCCTGCGGCCACATGGGGCATGTAGAGAAGTAGCTGTGCCAGTGGCCCCACACCCTGTGGCATGAACACTTAGGCTTCTGGGGCGGTTGCCATGTATTCAGGATAATGTTTTACATCCTCTGTAACGTCTCTTTAAATGACAGCCCCTCAGGATTTGGTAAGACTTCCAAGTTGTGCCTTTTAACCAAAGCACTGGGGTGGTAATAAAGCCTCACCTGCAGCCTCTCAGTCACGTTATGGGTCTGTTTTTGTCTCCACATTCCGTCCTCACTCTCCACGGAGGCTGTAGACTGTTAGACACATGAGGCTTGAAGTTTTTGTATTGCAGTTTTGTTTTCCTCCCTACTTCAAACTTTGGTACTTCATGTAAAATTGTTATCCTTAAGTGTTAGAATTTCACGGGCCCTCGACAGTGTGGCACGTCCTTGCTAAGGACTCAGGCAGCACTCACCGCATTGGCCTTCTGGCTCTGGTTGCTGCCAGTTGGAAACAACATAAATGAACAGTCCTTCTCTAGTTCTTTCTTTTTTCCCTCATCCTCCCATGTGTTTGTTTTTGTACCCAAGAGCCTGGCTGATATTACCATTGCAATTCTCTCTTAACTGGAGCTAGTCTTTTGCAAATCTGTATTAGTAATGGTTGCAGAGAGAAGTTACTTCAAAGCATATACAATGAAAGCTGAGATTCCGTATTACGAATTATGAAGGAAAGTAGGTCATGTGTGGTTTTCTGTAAGGTTTGGGACATTTAAAGTATAACACATGAGAAACTTAAGGCAGCCTCATGATTTTTTGTATTACCATTTGACCCAGTTAAGGAAAAGAATAAATATTTTGACTGAAACTTTGTGTTTTTTTTTTTTAATGTGGTTCTAGAAAGGTAGATGGGGTGTGCTTTTCTGCCTTAGAAAACTGTCTGTTTATGTTGTCTCTTTTGTTTTTAAGGGACTTGCTATCATCTGAAAGGTTCGACTTCTTTCAAAGGAATTTTAAAGGTGTTTGTGACATAATTCAGAGCTAATGCAAAGTGAGGCATTGACCAAATTTTCTTATACATTATAATGAGCATGGGTAGGAAAGATCTATGCATTTATTGAGAGCAACCTAGCAAGAATTGCATTTGCTCTGATAGGTGTATTCTGGGAATAAATAGTTATCGTGGGCCATACAATGTGGCTTGCCCTTCTTGTTAAATCTAGGCTTTGCTTAGGAATCACAGATGTGTTTATGTTCTGCATTTAAGTAAATAAGCTCTCTGATCTTTTGGGACATATAATCTATACAGATTCAGATTTTCTGAAGCTAAGGAATATAAAGAAAGACCCTTATTTAAATATCACTTACCATTTAATTAATGTAGTCCCTTCTTAATGTTTAAAAAATATTGCATTAAATCTTGCTTTCTAAGAAATATGTGTCATGCTCTAAAGTTTTTTTTCTGGTCTAGGTCAATGTACAGCTTCTTAATCTTTACTAATTCCAAAGTCCATTGTGTAAGTAGTATGAAAAATTGGTGCCAAATCCTAAATGTTAGACATACAAAGCTTATCCTGTGTGGTCACTGAAAGTGATAAGTTGTCCTGGAATTCTCTTTTTTACATACTGATTTTCAGTTTTACAAGAAATTCATCATGCTTAAATTGAGCAAAACTAGGAGTATTGCACTCTCGGTGCCCACCTTTACCACATTTTTTACCTTCTTTGAGGATAATTTTAAGAACAGAGTCTTCTGTTTGGTTTCCTCTTTGAACACTGAGGGTTCTGTTTCCATGTCAGTTTATTCCACTTATCATTTTTTACATTTTTGAAATAAAACTGAGTATTTTGCTTTACTCCTAAATTCTCACTGCAATTTGTTTTTGTAAACTTGAACATAAAAATTTAAATTTAGGATAGGTTACATAAATGGCTAAAGAGAGGAGAATACTTTGACTTCCTTATTCCCATACCCTCTTATTTAAATATCTTTCTGGGGATGAGGCACAGAAATCTGCTTTAAAAGAAAAATCTGCTGAAGGGTGCCTGGGTGGCTCAGTCAGGTAAGCACCTGACTTGGTTTGGCTTAGGTCATGATCTCAGGTGAGATTGAGCACCACATTGGGCTTCTGCTCAGTGGGGAGTCTGCTTGAGATTCTCTTTCCCTCTCTCTCCATCCCTTCTCTCTCTCTAAAATAAATCTTTAAAAATATCTGGTGATGTTCCTTTTGAAATCTCTTATCGTAAGCGGCAGTTCCTTTTGAAATCTCTTATCGTAAGCGGCAGTAGTTACTGAGTTTGAAATCTATGACATTACCCCAAACATGAATATTTTAAAAATATAGGACTTTTATTTCTGTGTATACATCATGTTATTAAAAAGTCTGAATGGCTTAAATAGCAGACAAGCAGTATAAAACTTTCATCCACTGAAAAGAGATGTAGTAGCTTAAGGATTCTGACAGCCTGGACTAATCTCCAAGTGACTATACAGTTAGCCATTTGGGAAAAAATAAGTCCTGTCTCTATTGTACTGTTCCTCAAAGTGATACAGTCTGGAAATGAATAACCTAAATGTAAAAACAAATACAGTTATGAAACTTCGGCATGTTTGGAAAAATTTTAACATCAGGCTATGAAATTCCTTTTTAAATCCCCACATGCTTAATGCAAGAGGAAAAAGTACATTTGGTTACATCAGTGTCATGTCTAATGAGAATTTAAGTGAAATTATAACAAGCAACAGACAAAAGAAAATATTTGCAACCTGTTTAATTGGGTAAGGGTCAATAAAGCAGGATAACAAAAAATGAGTAAAAATGGGCAAAGAATGTAAAAAGTGTTTTTGGAAGAGAGAACTCACGTGTTAAATCTTGGTAACCAGGAAACATAAAAAATAAAACAAAATGTTATCAGATTCCCCAAGAAATGTGTGAGTTTGATTGTGTCCCTGATATTGGTGAACATACCAGAAAATTTGTGTTTGCAATCTGCTCTTCGACCAGATTTGATTTAATGGGTACCTCCCAGGCTCCCTCCATTGATGCTGTGCACTTGACACTATGCCCACACCTTGCCAAGAAGCAGAACTGCTATTGCTGGGGAAATAATAGAAACAAAACCTCCTCCCACCCAGAAGATGGCTCTGCAAAGGTAGGGAGAAAGTGGTGGTGTTTATTGAATAAGCAGAAAGCCAGAATGTTTGCCTCAGGGGCAATAGCTAAGAGATTATAAAGGCCCCTTCGTATTGCCCAGCAGATACAACCCACTCCACACTTGTTCTCCAGGTAAACTAGTCCTCAGATAAGAGGACTTGACAGCACCTTTTGTCAATACACAGTTCATCCTACATGCATTGGCAGTTGGGCTGACTGTATTAGTTCATTGGCTTTATGCGAAGGAGAAATCACTTCTATCTTCATGGCAGGAGGTAGTTTTGCCATGAAATTGGGAGATAGGGTGAAATTGGGAGATAGGGACACTTTCTCTTCATAATCAAATTTCAAAGAGATGACTCCCAAAGATGTCCCTGAGAAAGCCTGGAGAGAGGCTTCTTTAGCTTTAAAAAAGATTTACATACATATCAAAGAGACAGAGAAAGAACTTAAAAGCTTTCAAATATAAACACTCTGAGAAAAGGGGCATGGATTGGAGGAGTTTCTTCACTTCAATGAAGAGACTTAAGTTTTTTTATTTTTTAATTTGTATTTGCCCCTACTGTCCAACCTGGGCAAACATTTGCTTGTGTGTACAAGGAATAATACAGAGAAGCCTGTTCACTGCATCATTCTTGGGACATGCATGCAGGTGTGCATGCAAAACAACAAAAGACCCACAAAAAAAAAAAACACCCCAAAACAATCTACATGCTCATCTGTAGGGGGAAAATACAACGGAAAATTGTATGCCCATACAAGGAGATACCGTGCAGCAGTTTAGTCATACTTAAAAAAAAAAAAAAAAAGTATTCAGAATTTAAAGACTTCCTGAACCATTCAGAAAGGTTAACACCAATTTCCTGATTGTAATTGCCTCAGGTAAGGGCTAGAATTGTGGGTGTTGGTTAAGGCTGTCTTGAGCTTTTTAGTTAATGTTTACATTTTTATGATACACTTTATTTTACCCTGGTCCATATGTTTCCTACACTATCACTGAAATCGAGGAGTGTTCCCATTTGGAACATAATACTTTTAAAAAAAATAAGAAATGCTTTGACTTTACTTTTTACTACACTTAACATCACCTATGATTTTGCCCTCCTGGGATCTTACGTATATTATGAACATATCATATGAATATATGAAGTAACTATTTCTTACTTCTCATTCTCCCAGATTGTGTGTGTATGGTGGGAGAAGAGGTAGGAATGTGTGCGATATAAGTTTGAGTCACATATAAAATACTGCTGGGACTGTATAGGTGGTAGTAATTCAACTACTGCCTCCCCCAAATCACCTGAATACCCAGTGGTATTGTCCTGCCAATCCGTTGGCATTTCCCAAACCAAACCCATTATCTTTCAATCTTCTCACTACCAAACCCTTTCTAGAGGCTTAAATGTTTACATATTATAATTTAAATAAGTTTTGTTTATGTTCATTCTAAATTAACATGTAATGCTTTCTTTTTGCAGTAGGATTATTTTGCTGATTATTTTGAACCCCACGAAATTTATAGCTGGCATTTTCCTACCTTTATGAAAACTCCGCTTTTGATTCTTTGGTATAGCTTTAGTCATGCTGCTAAATTGTGATTTGAGAGCTTGCAGAACTTTAAAGGAATACAGTAATTGCTCTAAGTGAAGCCTTATAATAACCTGACTTCAATTTCAATTCAACATACTATTCATCTGAGATTTAAAGATGAAATTTTGTGGATTTCTTTTCTTTTATTGATGAAAAAAACTGAAGTAATCTCCAGAAACTTTTCTCTTTTGGAAATTTAGCAAAGTACAATATAGTACTTTCATTCTGGTTTGATTCAGAACAATTTTAATAGTTGGGAGTGGAATCTAATTTTTCATAGCATAACACCTCTAAAAATCGAATATATACTTTTACTCTAGACTCTTTGTGGTACTACTTGAGCATATTTCTATCCAATCCTATTTAAGAAGATGAGGATTTAATTATAAATTCAATACATGTTGGTAATGATGTGTAGTTTGTGTAGTTGACTCTATAGCAAAATGGATTATGATTAAAACAGGAACGATGACAGGGTAGAAATGTAAGCCATTCCTTGGATATATGTAATACTAAGCATATCATGTTCTGAAATAATAATCACTGCTAGCAGAAATCAACTTATGTTCAAACATTTAAAGACCTGTTACAGTTTAAGATGAAGACTGAATGCTAAATCGATGTTAGGCTTAAGATACTATGCTCTGATATTTTAAATACACATGTTAGAATATTCCAATATTCCAAAATGTATTCTTACCATATATTTCTATTTAACTGTAAAGGGAACTTAGAGCAAATACTTCTCTCTGTAGCAGGCTTTTAAGACATTTCACAACTCAGTCCCTCAAGAAGAATTTTTTGCATGTAAATTTTAGGATAGTTCTAGACTGAATCAAACTCAGCTGAATCAAGAGTATATGAAATCCACTCCTGTACCCTACTTCTTGGACTCATTAGGACTTAAGACTCTCTTGAGTTGTGGGTGCCAGTCTCTGATGTGATAACTGACCCTTTACTCAAAGTGGTGGCCTTGTGTAGGCATGAACCACAATTGAAATGTCAGCACCAAAATCCTGTGCTTAGGATTCAAGGGAGACAAGTAAAGGTTTTCTGCTTTCTTTAAGTCCTGATGTCATAATAATATTAAGTCAACAGATACAGAAAGAAAGCTGAGACTTTATTTCCCCCTTAACCATTTGGAGAAACTTCCAAAGGCTCTTCTGGTAGTGATATATTTGGAACTGCATATTCTGAAAGAGTGAGTCTTTCAGACTAAATGACATATTTGTAAGTGTATTTTTGAGGCCTTTTTGTTCTTTTCCGACCAAGGCTAATGGTAAACTTGATAAGAAAATTAAGCAGGTCTGTCTAATTACCTCTGAGCTTCTCTGCCTACTCAATCTGCTTAGAGTAGTTTTAGCCAATTCCCACCAGGTCTTTCCATTCTGTTACCAGCCCCAAGTTTGTTTGTTTGTTTTTTTTTTTTTTAAGATTTTATTTATTTATTCATGAGAGACACAGAGAGAGACAGAGACATAAGCAGAGGGAGAAGTAGGCTCCCTGTGGAGACCTTGATGCAGAACTCGATCCCAGGACCCTGGGATCACGCCCTGAGCTGAAGGCAGATGGTCAACCCCTGAGCCACCCAGGTGTCCCACCAGCCCCAAGTTTTAAATAAAATATATCATCGTTGGCTAACTGTTCTATCATTAGTTTTAGAAGTCACTTTAAAATGTTGGAGTTTATTATTTCTAAGGCAGCATTAGTATATTCCCTAGATATTGGAAAATGAACATTACCTCTTTAAAAAAATAAGTTTGAAGTAGAGATGAGGTTTTCTACACTGAATTCAAAATCATTGTCCTATTTAACAGAAATGATCATTTGCTTCTTAAAAATAATTTTGTTGTACAAGATCAATTGTATTTTTAAGAGAAATGACATTGCTAGCCATGTTTCAACTTTATATCCAGATCAGAATTTATACAAAAATATCAGAAAAAAAAAGACAGTCACAGGAACCAAAAGTAACACTTAACTAGAAAACTTTTACTGAGGAGCAGCTATATAAACAACCACATTTCATATATATATATATATATATATATATATATATATATATATAATGAAACAATTGTTAAAATATAAGAGGTCAGGATTGGGAATTT